ATGTTTTAAAAATATATTGATCCATCATATACAATTTATAAATATTAAAGTATGTAATAATTAATTACAGAAGAATTTAAACTTATTATAATGAGAGAACGAGTTTCATATCGAACTTCAGTAACCAAAATATATTGATCCATCATAAGTTGCTAATGAATCACCATGAAGTTATAATGTTTGCTGCTGAATCATCGAAATTTTAAACGTAATTGAAGGTATATAAATGCTATAAAGATTAATTATTTCATTCCATAACAAAAAAATGGGATATGATTTGTATGGGGAGTGGAAATGGAAATAACTATATATCACTCTTTATTTTATGAGACAGTATCCTGGATTGGAGCATTGAATGTGATTGTAATGTACTATATGAAACCTGATTTATTAGGTAGAAAAGATTATGCAAGGAAAAGACTTGAAATTAGTATCCAAACAATAAATCAAACCCTAATTGAGTTACATATATATCACGCAATTAGGTTTCTAAATTTCTCAATTGAATTCTTTTCGAAGCCCTTCACCAATTTCAACAAAAAAACCACCACGCTTTCTATAAATGATTTTTTCTTATAAAGAAATTACGGGACTCAACAATGGATATAAATGCAGGACTCAATTGAAAATCTCCTGAATTATTTTTGCTTTTGAGAAACCAAATTAGGATAAAAATATTTTCAGTTGTCTCGATTAAGAGTTGGTATTATGTTTGAGAGAGTTATTTGAGGTTTGCTCAAATAAATTTCCATAGCTCCAACTCTTCCATAGTCTCTAGTCTCCACTACACAAAACTCACTCGAAATCACATGGTGGAAGTGAACAGAGACCCTAAGAAGATTGGATTTTATTGTACAAGAGAACCATCACTATCCACATCTCTCTCTCTGTTTCTTGGCTCGGAATCCACGTTTTACTAGCCGTGATTGCTAATATTTTTGTCCAAATCCATGTCCTTAGCCATCACCTTCACGTGGCTCTTGAATCTCCCAAGATTCTCTCTTTTTTTACTTCTTTTTTAATTTCAATGGACAACAAACAATCCCATCATTATATTGGTAGAGTAATAGCATACTTTTTTGTTTTGTTTTTTTATGTATGTGGAATGTTCGGACCAGTTTGCATGTATCGTGATTAATCCCTACGACCCACTGAATAAGGCAAAGATGATGACAAACATACTTTCTTGACCATCTAACAAACAATCCCATCATTATATTGGTAGAGTCCTAGCATACTTTCTTGACCATCTAGATGTGCAGGCATGGCAATGTGACCTGCTATTTGTAAATTTATTTGCGTTTGGTATGTGTGATAGACGAGCTAACTAGGTTATAATTTCTTTTGTTTTTGCTCCAAGCATGTCTGGTACACATGTTAAGACTTAAGAGGATGAAATTTTTATTGTTGATAAATGTGTTACACAAGTTTATAAGTGAGCATGTCCAAAGATTTACTGTAAGCTCTAAAGGTGGTTTTTTTTAATATTTATGAATTTATCTTATTGATATTTTTTAAAAAAATCAAAGGGATATTTTATGGAGTTTTAGTATATCTCTAACATTGCTTTATTTCGTTTTTCTTCTTTCATTCGGTTATTGTCCCAGCCTATTTCTTTTCTTTATTATTTACTCAATTTGCATTTGGCCCCCCATCTTGTATATTTAGTTAATTTTAGTCCCATTATTATGATCATTTTATTAATTAAACTTATTTTAAATTAAGTTGGGCAAAAAAGAATTATTTTCTTAGCATTCTCATTCCAAATTAAATCTTATTTTTTTTTCAATTCTTGTTTTTTTAAATAATGAATTAACTTATCATAATATTGAAATTAAAGTTAACTAATTATGGAATAAATGAAGAAATAAGCTCAAAAAAAGAAAAAGAAATTGTCTTTGGCTATATTTTTCCCCACTAAGCTATTTTGGACCAAAAAAACTATGTGGAAATTTAATTTCAAGAGCCCCACTGCTTAAAATTACAAGACTTCTCAAATCACCAAAATTCTTAAATCTCACCAACCCCCTTCTTTTTTACATCCCCTCCCCCCTGCAAGTGGGCAATGACAACACAGTTTATTCTCATGGCGAAGTTCTATTAACACTGTTTCCGGTAATCCGATACTCTCCTTGATTGATTTATGATTGATTTTACACAGCCCCTTTTTTGTTAACACTCTTTTTTCTTTTTTCTTTTTTCTTTTTTTCCAGATTGTAATCTGGGGAGAGGTTAAAGTTCTGGACTTTCGATTAAGCTTTGATCTTTATTTGCATCCTTTTCTCGTCAAATCAAGTTTGGTATGATTCTTAATACTATTCAGTTTTCGGACGGTAACTGAATCATTTGTAGAATTGACAAATTCATTTGTTGCATTTATAATAATAGATGGCATACTTTCGTTTTTCACTTTGATGCTAATGCTTACCCATCACCTCCCTTATTTATGGATTGTGAAGAAACCGCATTTGGGTTCTTGTTTTCTTCTTCACTCTATTTCTTATAGCTGATTCAATGCTTGAAATCAAGTTAATGTTGATTTGTGGTCGGAAATGACTGGGGAATGAAAAATTGAGAAGCAAATACATATATTTAATGGGAAATCGCACTCCTCATATTTGATGTGTTGCAGTGCTAGTATGAGAATTTGATCGTATATTTTACTATTGAATTACATTGTTCAAAATTGTATATGGACTTGGTAAGAGAATCCACTGGTTGGCTCGGATTACAAATTGTCTCTACCAAGTAGAAGATAAATGACTCATTTTCAGGGCCGCTTGAAATGAAAATTGAAAGAAGAGAGTTGTGGGAGCTCATACTTGTGTCCTCCTTTCGTTTTCCTGGTTTTAGAACACGTGCACCTGAATGTATTTAGAAACATCAGTAGTTGGTGAGGATATTTTTTACTAGTTTTTGTTTTCACGATGCTATTTGTTCTACAAACCTGGAATAGTCCGCCCTCCACATTTTGCCTGACAACTTGTATTTCTCTTCTGCATTTTGTGAAAAATTTGTCTGTTAACCTGCAAAGAAACAATGAAGGATGTAGCATGGCATCTGTTTTGCACTTCAGCTATATTTTGCCTGAATATTTATGTGGAAATTTAATAAGCAAACAATACTTCCATTGCTGTTGTTTCCCTTGGCTTCAAATCAAACATTATGAAAGTAATTCAAGTCTTTCCCTTTAATCCCTTGAATAACTCGAATTCATATTTCCAAGCTATCTTGCAGATGGGGGACGTAGCGAAGGACTTGACTGCTGGGACGGTCGGTGGTGCAGCACAATTGATAGTTGGGCACCCTTTTGACACCATCAAGGTCAAGCTCCAAAGCCAGCCTGCTCCACTCCCTGGCCAAGCTCCCAAGTATGCTGGTGCAGTGGATGCTGTGAAGCAGACTTTATCTGCTGAAGGCCCAAGGGGGTTATACAAAGGTATGGGAGCTCCACTTGCTACTGTGGCAGCCTTCAATGCTGTTCTTTTCACAGTGAGGGGACAAATGGAGGGATTGTTAAGGTCTCAACCTGGTGCCCCACTTACAGTTAACCAGCAAGTTGTTGCTGGTGCGGGTGCTGGAGTTGCTGTTTCTTTTCTTGCTTGTCCCACTGAATTGATCAAATGCAGGTCAGTGCCATCTCTCCTTACCCTCGCAACCTTTCCTTACCTTTCTACCTGATTTTTCTTAATTTTTGAATGCTCATTATTTTGCAAAGCTTTCATTTTTTGACTGGGCTGTGTATCTTGACAACCTGATGGTTTTGGGCAGTTTCTGTCTTACCTGTCATGTCCTGAATTCTTCTAAATGGCAAAACAAAAATGTGTCTGATTTTCCTTCACCCTTTAGGTATTGTCGTGTCTTTTCTGGTTCACCCTGACATTTAAGTCTATGAATAGTCCTGAAAATTATCAGGCAAGGGGAAAAACAATATTGCCAAATGAGATTGTTTCTTAAAGTCTTAGAACAACTTGAATACAATCCTGTCTTTCTCTCGTTTCTCCAACAACAAAGTGGTGGTTATGCCAGTATTTTTCTAGTTATGAAACATTCCTGGCAGCAAATAGTTTTAACTTCTTCACTTGCCATTTCTGTTTCTTTCTTGTTTTGTTTTGCATAACCTGGTAGATCTTTGAAATCTACCTCCTAATCAGTTGGGGTTTCCTGGTGGAAACAGGTTGCAGGCACAAAGTGCTTTGGCAAGTTCAGACTCAGCAGTGGTGGCTGTGAAGTATGGGGGGCCAATGGATGTGACCAGGCATGTTCTCAAATCAGAAGGTGGTGTGAGGGGTCTCTTCAAGGGCTTGGTTCCTACTATGGCACGTGAAATTCCTGGAAATGCTGCTATGTTTGGTGTCTATGAATTGCTGAAGCAGTCCTTTGCAGAAGGTGAGGATACTTCTCAGTTGGGAAGGGGATCTTTGATGGTGGCCGGTGGCCTAGCTGGCGCTTCCTTTTGGGTATTTGTCTACCCCACGGATGTTGTTAAAAGCATCATTCAAGTAGATGATTACAAAAACCCCAAGTTCTCTGGGTCTATTGATGCTTTTAGGAAGATCCTGGCTTCTGAAGGTATCAATGGCCTGTACAAAGGTTTTGGCCCTGCCATGGCTAGAAGTGTCCCTGCAAATGCAGCATGCTTCTTGGCATATGAGGTGACGAGGTCAAGCATGGGGTGATTGGCTGCAGTTCTTTCAGAGCAAATAACTGGATTATTCTTCACCATTGTTATCATATTCCTGCTCTCAAAAAGCTTTTTCAAGTAATTGTTTAGTGATATGATAACAGGTTATGTCAAAAGAACATGCTATTCATCCTTCAAAATTAATGAGCTCGGGTGCTGGAAGAAACACTCGCCAGTCACCAACAATTTAACATGCAATAGTTGCATTTTGTTTTCCTGAACATTTAGTTTCTGATTCTCGTGCGACTAGTAAAAGGCAGGGCAAAGCCTCAATCAGTAAATCAGGATGATGGGATAAAAAACCAAGCTTCACCCAGATGCAAACAGATGAAACTAGCTGCTTTGGCTAACTGTATAATAACCCAAAATTCATCGATTCTTTTTGTGTTTAAGGTGGAGTCACCCTTGGTTACAAGGACAAAACATGCACCTAATGTCTTTTCACAGAACGGCAATCAGCCTTTTCTTATGCAAGGTCTGAAGTTCCAGGTTGCAAGCATGTAACAGCTGTTTCATTCCATTCCATCCGAACTTGTTGCGATATTTCTGTTAGTTTATTGCCTCTTAAACGGTTGATTTCCATGTTTGATTCATTTAAGTTTGAAACGAGCTAAATACAGAAGAAGGGTTCATAAATTATTCCCATCGTGGACATGGAGGCAATGACTGGCTAGTTACAGTTTTCTTACTAAAGCTTCCGTTTTTCCGCTGCTTACTGGTGACATTTGGCTCAGACATCGACGACATTAGAATGGATGCCACATAATGTAACAAACTAGCGTTTGACTAGTTAGCGCACTCCATTGGGGTTAGAGTAAGCTGCTTGAAATAACAAACCTGCGCGTGACTAGTGAGGAGGACTAGAAATTAGTAAACTTAAAAGGAGGGAATCTGTAACCGTTGCAGACTGGGAAGCTATATGACAGACAATACTGAAGCCTTACAAAGGTTCATCAAGTTAGGCATTACAGTGACAACAAAATGGAAGCTGCAAGACATTCTCATTCCTCCATGCCTCTTGTTCCTAGATTGGATCATTTGGATTTCGTAGTAAGTTTGTCTTTCCCAAAGCATCTACGGTCTCATAAATACTGTCTATCAGTCAATTTTCTTCACTTGCACTGTGTGGTGTCTTCTTAACGAGTGTGGGTGTTTTTTTTTTTACTTGTGAACAAATTAAGATGAAATATTTAGAAGGAAAACGACATTTACCAAAATGGCGAGGAAATTGTTCGGTTGAAGGTGCTGGGAGGCAATCCATGCCGATGGATTTGGCAGTGAAGGAGGCTTGCCTTAAAGGGTCACTGATGGATCGAGTGGCATGTCTTGAACATAGGCTTTTTCAGGTGAAATGTAGCAGTACAACCATTCAAGTATTTTTCTTTTGAACAACAAAGACTACAGTTCAAGCTGACTACAAGTTTTTTCTTCCATTGCTTTTTCTCAATTCAGTTCTTATGTCCAATTGCTTAATTTGATTTCTGGACATTAATTTCTTATTTATTAATTTGAAGAGGTCCACCAACATTATAATGTAATACAACAATGTTTTATTTCTGAAGAAAAAAATTTGTAATCAAGCATATCTATCTCTAATGTGTTTTAGAACTCGGTGACTCATTGGAGAATTGTAGCCTAATTCCTCTAAAGAAAGCTAAAAATTGCTTGCGCTATTGGGATTTTTCTTGTGTTCCAGCTTTGCCTAGAGATGGACTCCAGCAGCACATCAGCCGCTTCATCACGGGCATCTGGGGATGCATCTTCTGGGCAAGGACTGCCAACTTTCACGCTAGCAACTTTTAATAATCCAAATCAAGGACACAAAGAGGAGTCCCTAGACCATGCTAACAGGGTTGAACTTCAGGTATAGTACACGAACTGTTGAATTTTAGAACTGCATGCATATAATTTACTGCCTTGATGACTCCCTCCAGTTCATCATGTAAAATCTCGTTTTTCCCTCGGTTAGAAACACGTATACTAAATTGAAACCTCAATAGCAGTGGGAATTTAACGAACCATAACTCTAGCGCAACGAGGCGGATCTAAAAATATCATTGTCCTAGATTAATGTTGTTTCAAAACATTGCCACGTTTTATTAATTTATCACTGCCTCGGAGTTTTTTCCCCCTGATAATATGATGATTATTCTATTTGTTTTACGCTCGGGAGAAGTCTCAGATACAAGAACAAGAGAGGAAGCATTCGAAACCTACGAAGCAAGAACTTGGGAAGAATAGGCCTAACAGAGATGATAAGAAATGCAAAAATGGGAAGAAGAAAGTGCCTCCCAAATGGCCTCGCTTGAAACTCTTAGGGTGTTAATTAATCTTAATTAGTGACGACCGCCTTCTCCTCCTACAAGTCAACTGTTTTGTTTCTTTCAGAACATTTTTTGAGGTGAATGTATCAATGTCAAGGCGAGATTTAAGGAGGACCTATCCCTGCTGCGTACAATTAATCTTATTACACTGTAACGCATCAATTCAGAATGTTATGTTGTGATTAGCGTTTGTACCTTGTGTTGAGGTTTTGCTTTGATATGAAAAATTAAGAACTTCAATTCATTGATTAAAAAAAAAAACCATGTTCAAGTTTAAGAAATTAATTTCAATCGCTAGAAACCATTACCTTGTGCTGCCAGAACCTTATAAAGTCCCACCATTTTGGAAATTAATTTGTCGCTTGAATTGAGAACCAATTTGATTTAAAATGTGTTTCAGAATGTGTTAATAATTATGATTTAAAATATTTTTTATTTTAAAAATCTAAACATCATCAAATTCTTTTAAAAAATATTAATTAATGTTAAGAAAAGTCTAGACATCTCCATGTTTCAATGGAAAGGAATAAAAAAAGCTCTTAATGCAAGCAACTATATTTTATGAGCAATCCAAGAAACCAGGGAGTAGAACCTAGAAACACAATTATTGCAAGAATTTAAGAATAGGAAATTTTTTATTCATGGCTGATGGTATTCGACCGTTTTATAAATTTGTTGATCGAGTTCGGTCGGCAGGTGAAGGGTCTTTCTGACAAGGTTCGTAAAGTCTTCGAAAGAAATTTCAAGGAGAAAAATTATTTATAATCGTACGTACATTTTTATAATGCACGGAAAGGGGGGAATGTACATTTGGTTTCATATCAATGACGTGACAACGCCTGCAAGTGGATAACTACAGCCCAACGAGTGAGTTTTTTTCTCTTCAGTCTTTTTTTAAAAATGTTTTTAAAGTATTTTTATTTTAAAAAGATATTAAAAATATTATGTTTTAAATTTTTTTTATATAGTTTTGATATATCAATAAAAAAAATAGTAATTTTAATATATTCTTAAAATGTTCTTAAAAAACACTAACTAAATGCCAATATAGAAAGTGATTAGCTGGAAAACTATGGTTTGGTGCCAGAATTAACACTCCTTAAGAATTGGACGCTGCCATGCTCTCCATGGCTGGTAGTGGTATCACATTGCACTTCTGATGGTTTATCTATAGTAGCATCGGCAGTGGTTAACCACTGTATATATTATATTCCTTTGATATTGTCGTAATATTTATTTTTTAAAATATTTTATATTAAAAAATATATTAAAATAATATTTTTTATTTTTAAAATTTATTTTTAACATAAAAAATGAATTATATAATGAAAATATGCATAAGCTATTACATATTTAATGAAAGGAAAACTAATATTTTATTATATTTAATAATGGTTAACAATGGGGTTAATTAAAAGTTCTTAATGCAATAAAAAAAGAAGAGTAAATTGTTGTATATATTGGATTAGATTTGACCAAAAACCACTAATTAAAAGGAGATTATTATAGCTCAATCACCAACCTGTTATGTTAGAAGGGCACACTGGAACTAGTTTTGAAAAGATAATGTAAAAGAAAGGGCATGCGTATCTAGTTTATGGAATGTTAAGCTAGCTTGAAAGTCATATCAAGGATTTAAATACAATTAGATATACATATAGTGTTTAAAGGTGACTGAGATTACACCATTGAAGCAACATGAATACACAAAATCTCATAGAATGGTTTAAACATTTACTATTAAATATGAGATCGTGCATAAATGTTGTAAACTATCTGATTGTACTATACCTAAAAACCAATAATAATGTTTAAATAAAGACTCATATGCTTGAATTAAATATATATTTTATGGATAATGGGATGCATGGTTGTTAATGTGTTGTAAAAGGGTCTTCATATGCTTGAACTAAATATATATATATATTATGGATAATGGGATTCTTAGTTGTCCATGTGATGTAAAAGGTTCTAGGTAGATTAAAATGTGATGAAACTCGCAATGTGATAGGTAATTGGACTATCATTAAAAAGTATAAAACCAAAAGAATCATTGATAGTGAAAACTCGATCTTTTTCTTAAAAGGTTTAATGAGAAAAACAAGCTATTAACATATGATTCATGTTAACACGATCGACGACATATAAACTAGCTTAGTGTTTACCAGTGATATGAGAGGTTTAACCTATTGTTCTTAATGAAGTTTTAGTATTTAGTAAAGAAAATGTGTCTGTAGTTCCATGGCAGAATTGTACTAAAGATTAACTTCATTTGTATGGGTGTTATGTTGTTTCAAACAAAAATATAGATAGCTTTTGTAAACACTAATCAAAACTAGGAGGAAGCACGAGGCTTAAATAACATGAAACAACGTAGTTTTTATGCGTGTATCTTTTCTTATTGTGATAAGAATAGATCATGGTTTAAAGCTTAATGCTATCATGGATTTAGCTCAAGTCCTGAAAAGTTCACACAATAAAGATTGGACCGAATATTCGGACACATGCTAACAGTATGTTGTAGAAGAAGAATTTTAAATGGACATAAGGTTGAGTCGTGAACTGTTTTTTATTGTAATGTGCAGTGAAAGCCTCAACCGGATGTTCGATTCTAAAGTTGGTTCCCGCACAGTCGGTTAGGGCACGGCTGCTAGGCTTTCGGATTCACTGAGCTGCTCTTTTCCAAAAATCTCCTCATTGAGCTGCGTTTTTTTAGAATTTGGATCTTGGTTGTGTATTGACGGACAGACAATGCATTGACACGTGAAATTAAGATACTACAACATACAGTGAAAGCCTCAACCGGATGTTCGATTCTAAAGTTGGTTCCCGCACAGTCGGTTAGGGCACGGCTGCTAGGCTTTCGGATTCACTGAGATGCTCTTTTCCAAAAATCTCCTCATTGAGCTGCGTTTTTTTAGAATTTGGATCTTGGTTGTGTATTAACGGACAGACAATGCATTGACACGTGAAATTAAGATATTACAACATAAATTTTTATTAAAAGATAACGTTAAAAACAACAAAACTCTAACAAAAAAATCAAAAATTAAAAAAATAAAAATTGAATTTTAAAAAATAATATATGATAAATTATAATTTAAAAACTAAATTGAAAACATTAATATTTTTTCTAAAAGAGCCAAGGACTAAAATAAACAATTAAAAATACAAAGACGAAACATGTAAAAAAAAAAAGGATATAGTGAATTTCTTTTGCAAGAGAGAATAAAAAGAAATATCACTGATGATAACCACTTATTAATTATTATCACATATTATATTATGAAAAACAATCAATTTAATTATTATAATATATTATATATGTCATAAAAAATACGGACATCTTTCACATATTAACATGTGATATTCACATTCTCTTATTTTTTTATTAAAATATTAATAGTTAAAAATAAAGAGACCAAAACACCTTTTATATTTCTATTTCTGGTCATAACAAAAAGAAAAAACCCTGCATAAAAAGAAAGAAAAAATCACCCCTGAACTCTTGCCTCTCTTTTTCCGAATCTAAGCCAACAGCTCAATTGTTTTTTATTGGGGGTAAGTATTTTTATTGTCCATAAAAAGATAAAACTAACCCCATACAAATCTTTGTTGACTAACCTTTGAAAAAAGATAAAATCACCCTCAAAACCAGGGCAAAAGAAATTTTCTTCAAAGAACAAAAGCGTAATTTTACTATCACAGTGAACAGTTTTTTATGTGTCTATTATATTTATTTTCTGCATAATAATTAAGCCGAAATTCAAAACTAAAATTAATAAAACGAAATCCTACAGATCCAGCACAAAGAAACCATAATAATGCAGCAAAAATCAGCATAAAAAAAATTAATAAGTAGGTCGGCTTTGGAGCTTAGCCAGGTTGATGTGTCCGGCTAAAACCTTTTAGGTTGTACAGCTAAAATTAAATAGTTTTTAAAAAATTATTTTTTATATTTATTTATCATTAAAAAAATTGGTTAATAAAAAATATTTTTCAGTTAAAAAATTTAACTAAATTTCTAAAAAAGTATTTTTCTAAAAAATTTGAACAATAAACATTTTTAAAAAGTTATGAAAAATTTAAAAATATTATATTATTTGTTGGTTATATCAAATTTGGTCCTCACAATTTTAATTGATATATATATATATATATATATATTGAATATTTATTTTTTTAATTTTATCTTTTAAAATTTAATTTTTATAGTAACTTTAATACTCATTTTGTTTTTCTTTATTATTTTTTAATTAAAATTTTTTATCTATTAAATTTTATCCTTATTCTTTTGATTATTACTTATTTTATTTTACATAATTTACAAAATAGTTATTATTATTATTTTAATTTCTTCATTTCCTAATTTTTATTTGCTAGATTTGATTTTTATTATTTTAATTATTATTTATTTTATTTAAGATGATATATGAAATTATATTTTTTTTTTCAATTTCATTCTCATTCAGCTTTTTAATTTGTAAGATTTATTTTTTAATTATTATAATAAACTTGAAAAAAATAAAATATTAATAAGTTATTTTTTAATTTATTTTTCATAATATAACCAAATACTATAAAATATTTTATAACTTATTTTTTATTACATTACTATATATCAGAAATAATTTATTTTTTTAAAATTTATTTTATAAAAAAAACTACTTTTTTAAAAAATATCCCCTTCTTGTATCATAGACAGACAAACAAACAAATATATATAAACCCGCTTACCATCTTTCCTCCTCATTATATCAAGGACTCGAACTCTAACGTCTCAAAAATCAAAAGACATGACAGACCCAAAACAACAAGAATCAATAGCCTCCACCACCCACCACCTCACCATCCCATCAGGTTTAACTCAGTCCGAATTCGAAGAGTTAGCCCCTCTCATAACCGAGTTCCACACCTACAGAATCAGAGCAGGTCAATGCTCCTCTCTTCTAGCCCAACTCATAAGCGCTCCTAACGACGCCGTCTGGTCTATTGTCCGCCGTTTTGACAAGCCACAGACCTACAAGCACTTCATCAAGAGCTGCAGCGTAGGTCCAGGATTTACAATGACCGTCGGATCCACACGAGACGTGAACGTGATCTCTGGCTTGCCTGCAGCAACAAGCACGGAGAGGCTTGATATATTGGATGATGAGCAGCAGGTCACGGGGTTTAGTATTATTGGGGGAGAGCATAGGTTGAGGAACTACAGGTCGGTGACGACAGTGCATGGGTTCGAACGTGAAGGGAAGATCTGGACCGTTGTTTTAGAATCCTATGTCGTTGACGTACCTGAAGGGAATACCGAGGAAGACACGCGGCTGTTCGCTGATACTGTTGTCAAGCTGAATCTCCAAAAACTTGCGTCTGTTGCTGAAAGCTTGGTTCGAGACGGTGACGGTAAATAAGTAACCCGAAAGAAAAAAACAAATAAAACCCAAGGAGGCAAAGATTCACCAAAAAAGAAGTGTATATACACACACACTTCATTTTTCCCTAAATACACCAACTGGCCAAAATAAGTATGTTATATGTTATCTCTCCTTTTTTTTTGTTTAATTAATGTGAGTGTCCGAATTAACTTGCGTGTATATGACTAATCTCACGGCTCAATTAAATATCCTACAAGTTTAATAAATAAGTAAAGCACCGCGAAAGTGTATATGACTAATCTCAATTAAATATCCTACAATTTAATAAATAAGTAAAGTACCGCGAAAATGACAGGCAAATACACAAAAAGAATCGAACTCGGATTGGCTACAAAGCAAGCCTAGTAACGGACCCTAAGCTAGACCATCAAGTGCATTATCTCTCCTTTTTTTTTTTGTCCAGTTGGTGAATGTGTGCTTTTTTGAATAGATATATATATATATATTTCAAGTATTGTAAGTATGTTATCTCTCTTTTCTTATTGTGGACAGTTGATGTATTTGGGGAAAAATGAAAATGCCATGATGCCGCTTGAATTTTCCTTTGGGATTATGCTGTTTTGGGTTTTCATTTTACCAATGCGGTGATCACGCTTTGTAGGATTTCGTCGAAGATGAAGGTAAGGGCATTAGAGTCAATGCACGTGTACAGATATTTTCAGTTCTGGGAGCCTCGGAATTTTGTGAAAATTAAGGAATTTGTGTTGTCCTGGTCTGTTCGTCATTCTTTAGTTCTGTCCTCTACTGAAATTCTTGCTAGTTTCGGCTGTCGTACGTTTTGGTTAAATTAAATTTGGACTACATAAGAATTAATGAGAAAGATTAAATATACCATGAAATGAAAAATAAGAAGGGCGAATTAGTTTCATTCCGATGTTTTGTTTTTTTATTTGAAATGATATATTTTAATTTTAGAATATTTTAACGTTTCGAAACTGTATTCTATATATATATATATATATATATGAAACTGAAACGACCTGAATAATTTTACAAACTCAAAAATAATATGAGTAATTAATAAAAAATAATTTAATAAAAAAATAATTTAAAAATATTTTAAAAATATATATTTAAATAGCAATATATTAAATTAAATGGAGTACATCCGTGTTAATTTTTTTAATTTGTGTCCTGAGATCTTGATAATTCTAAATAAAACAAATTAAAATAAATTAAAAAATTTAATTTTTAGTATATTTATTTTTGAATAATTAAATTTAAAAAAAATAATTTAAAAAAATAACTTAATAAAATGACCTTTATGAACGATATTACAAAAATATCACTAATAAATCTATATTTTATTTTGTGTATTTTTATTTAACTGTTAATATTTTTATAAGATATTTTTAAACTCTAATTATTTTAAAAAAATTAATTTAAAATAAAAAAATATCAAGAAAATTCTCATAAAATTTCTCTTCATCCAACAATCAAATTAAAAAATTATTATTGATACAATAATTGCTCCATCTATTTTTTAAACAGAAACAAGATATACATCAGCCTATCCTAACAAAACAGAAAATAACTTAGAATATGAATTGCTGGGCATGAGTTAAAAGTAACCTAGGTAGCTATGAATTTGAACGGAGGGAACGGAAAAGCAAAGCACACTGCTACACTGAACGTCGCGTCACCTGGGGACCGTATGGATTCATTTTTCTTCGTGGAGTCTTTGATAGAATCTAATGCTTTTGACCTTTCGTTTCAGTGTGAGAATCCGAGTAGTGAAAGTGGGAGCCTTTTTCTCTCACCTTTCAATCTATTCAAGTATATTAGAAATGATCCCCTTCTTTTATATTTCTTTCTCGAGAATGAATGTCTTAATAATCACTCCCTAAACTTTTCAAGACGTATTTCCACTCAAATCGTATATGATTATGATATATATGCTTCGCACAGGCTGATCTCCCTCCATCTTTCTCTCTTTTCTGTTCAGATATATACAATATTTACTGTTTCCTAGTTACTTGCTTAGTAAGAATGGAATCTTATTCTACAAGTTACAACATATATATATATATATATATATATATATATGAACTAGCTAGTTGAACCGTTTTCCGCCACGAGCTATAAATTATTTTTTGAAAAAAATTGAGTATGCAGGCTATTTTATTATATTGTTTTTATATAAAAAGATATAAAACTTAAATCAAAAAGTTTATGAAAAAATCTAATTGAATAAATTGATAGTTATTTATGTAGATAAATAAAAAAATTATTAACAATAATTAAAAAAATATTAATTTTAGCGTTTCAAACAATATAGTGAAAATATAAGTTTGGCTACTAAATAATATCGCATCTATCATTTAAAAGGCATGAATATCATTCACACACTAAGCAGCATACTAAATATAAAATAATAATTTTTTTAATAAAAAATTAACTATCCAAATTAAAAATACTAAGATGTCTTTTATATCTTTATAAATTACAAAAAACTTAAGTGAAAAGATAAATAGACCCTTAGACACATGCTTTATTGTTTTATCTTTTTAAAGATAAAAATATTTTTTTAATATATTCAAATAAGTAAAAAAAATAAATATATTTTTATCTAAATCTCTTAAACTTAGTTGTGAATAAATGGTTTTATAGTTTGATTTAATAAGAAAAACAAACATATATTTTAAAAGAGCACTAAACCATTTGAAATGATTAAAATACCAATGATATACCAAGACTTTCATTTTTCTCAAAAAAAGAAGAAGAAGAAGAAGATAATTTCAATGCAGGAATCCATATTAATTTGTATCTAGACCTACAATGAAAAACCTAATTACCCTGATCCATCACCTAGCAACGGCATTTTAGACGTCGTTGGATGGCAAAAAACTTTAGGGCCTCCTGTTTACTCATGGGGATGGTCCATACGGTGGAGAGAGACTGACCACCTGTTATGGCAGGATTGGATTTTCTAGATGGGAAGAATTATATTCAAGACTGCACTAGTATTCATAGCGTCATAGTTGTTAATTTTAAGGTTTATAAAATTTATTAAGGTATGCACACTCTAGTTTAAAAATTCACTTTAATAAAAAAAAAAAATCACCAGAAGTCATAGATCTGGTAAAGCAACCTCGAGCCCAGTTCTGGTAAGTTCCTTACTTCCGGCCACCCCTATTCCATTTTCAGCTATGCCTTTTTTTCTTTGACCAAAGACTGATTGCCCTATAAATCATTTAGCCTGTCATAGTATCATGTACTAACTGAAGCCCCATGAACGACCACCACCGGATCATCCAGGAGTGGCTGTGTATAATAGTCAAGGCATAACGTTTGGAAAGTCCGATCTTCAAGATTTCTTTCCTTATTCTTTTCATTTTTAAAAGGAGAGGATGATGTCTTTGCAGCTGTACTGAATGATGTTTTGTAATTGACTTGCGATTTGGGTATTCATTTGCGTCTCAATTATTGCTATGCCAGTCATAATCTATGTAGAGTTTGAGAAAAATGTTATCTGTCCATGTTGCGTCTGTTCCAAATTAATACTTGTTATGTCGACTTCTCTAATCTTCCATGTTAGGCTGTTTAGCTTTCAGCTTGTGACCGTGCATTACAAGTATCAATGAAAAGAACATTGTAAGTCATTATCAACAATGTATAATGATGACCATATATTTAACTTGTTATTCGCCTCCTTTCAGATAATTTTATTTTTTAAAATTAAAATATTCTAATTAAGTAAATTAATAATTATTTGTGTCGATAAATGTAAAACAAAAACAGTTATTAAAATTAAAAAATAAATTTAAATCAAGACATTTAATCTCGCAATACAGATCATGTATTTAATTATGTTTAATAACTTTCTTTTATTGAATAATTTTTTTATTAAATCAAACAATTATTTGTGCCATTAAAACATTAAAAAAATTGCTAGGTAACTAAAAACTGAACTTAAAAAAATTAAAAGATAAATATAAATTAAAATATTTAATTTCACAACCCGGGCTATATACTCAATTATTTCCATTAACATTGTTTCTTAGAATAAGTTATTTATTTAATCAAATGATAATAGAAATAGACACATATATAAAAGCGATTAAGTAAAATTAAAGAAAAAAAATATTATACAGCGCTGCACATATTAAAAAAAAATATTATAACTTTATATGAATACCAAGTAAAAATAAATTATATTTAATCAAAAACTAAATTGAAAAGTTAAAAGATATATGTGGTTATAGATATCTAATCTCGAAACACAGATAATAGACTTGATTGTATTTAATAACATTATTTATTAAAATAAATTTTTTATTTAATAAAATTATAATAAGAAAAACACATAGAAAAGAGAATGAATAAAAATAAAGGGAAAAAATTAAGTAAAGCTATACAAAAAGAATGTCTCATAACATAAAAAAATCTTATCTACAAAATGAGTAAAAACTAAATCATATTCTATTAAAAAAATATCATATGAAATTGTTAAAAAAATATTTAAATTAAAAAAAACAGCCAATAAAGGATGAAGTTGCTAAAAAATAATAAAAGTATAAAAAAAAAACAAATGACAAAAGAATACGATGCACACCTGAAATAAGTTTTCATTATTATTATCATTAAGGGGCAAATGACTTCTTGTTTGTCTCTAATTTTTTTTATAAAAAAAAAAACCCAAATGGCACATCTTCTATTAATGTAGATGACATGATGTCTTTTTTCCGCAAATTCCAGCTACCATGATAGCTAAAAAATAAAGGTCGATGACTTTTTGATTTATAATACCATTTTCCAACTAATTATTTATCTAAAATACATATAAAATACTTTAAAAGCTTTAATAAGCTCAAATAAGTCCTTAACCAACCTAAAAAATCATTTCAAAACTTAAAATCATCTAAAAAACTTCTCAAACTTAGATCTATAATCTCATATAAATTTAAATGAAAAATAAATAAATTTTTCTTATCAAATAAAATTTATTAATACTAAAATAATTTTTTTTCAAAGCCCGAATCA